TAGCCGAGTCTCATGCGGGAGAGCGAGAGGATTGCCGTGGCTCCCTGACGAAATGGAGGCAGGGACGAAAACGGAAGTGGAGAGAAAGAAAAATAATTAAGCTTCATTCACAATCGCGGTAAGCATTCTTTTATAAGAAATATCAAAAGACCAGTACGCCCGTACGGTGGCTCTTGAAACTTTACGGAGTGAATTCCGACAACGTAACTATGCTGTTCCGTGGGAACGGCCCTGGGTCAGGTCAGGTTGGGTAGACTCAGCTTTAAATATCGACACTGTCAGACCCCCGTTGACGAGCCGATATTGCGACATTGATTGCCGACTGTGTCACTTGCTACGAAAAAATAAAAGAAGATTGGATGCTGAAACGCGATACGCAATAGCGTCGCGCGAAAAATCCTTCCACCCTTGGCCTATACTCGCAGCGTTACCGAACTCCCGACGACGCCTAATCGATTTTCAACGACACTCGGAACGACAAGTTCCCGGTACTCGGCGTCGACCGAATTCTTTATTTTCACGTATATACTTAATTTTCGTCGTCCTTACGTTTTATCGTTATCATTTTTATCAATCGATACCGCCAAATCCTTGACGACCATGCTCTCGGGTCATTTCTTGAGACGTACCATCGTTTTATTTACCTACTGTTATCCCTCCTTCTGCTGTATTTGAACGTTCTATCGAATCCTAATGGCACGTTCACACGGGCCTTACTAACGGCACGCGATAAATATTAATGCACGCTACTTCATCAGTGTTTCGCGATACGATGGAACGCCCGGAGACTCATGGAAACACTCTGTACCTCTTTCTCACTCTCTCCTACGGTGTCCTATGCTCTGTGAAAAAGGCGCCTGTGGTACGAACGATAAAGCTCCGTTCCCGTTTCTTTTGCAACTGCAGTGCCTCCTGTGGTGCAACTGCAACCTGTATATATATCTTCATATACTATACATATACGTATATACAGCACCATTTACTATTCTACCTACATACGTTTTCATGCGGGTGGGATATGTTCCCAGATCTGCGACATGGAGTGAGATTTCCTCGTAAATACGACGATTTTCATTGGTACGATAGGAGAGAAGAAATTCCTTCCCGGTTCGTGGCATTAAATTATATCCACGCCACGATAAGAGACTGCTTCACTGGAAGGGCGTGGTTCAAAATTGCATTTCGGGAAATTTTGAAAAAAAAACAATTTGATCATCGGATACTTGCTTGCCGTTACTTCTTAGTCACAATATACAAAATTAACTTGGACGATGTGCGCGTGCGTGTGTTTCAAAAGACTACATTATTCCTATCGGCAATGAATTTCAATTATATACACAGTGCACATAATTCACGAGGAAATGACAGTTAGTAAATTTACCTGCGACTTCCGAATGGAAGTTTCATGATGATTTACGAGCTATGACGTCTCCCTCTGTCGATATCTATACATATATACCGGGAAACGAAACTCGGACATTTTACATTATTCATATGTGCGTACAGGGTGACTCGTACGTCTTTGATGAATCGTATATATTAGTTTTTAAATGTGCAACGTGCAATTTGATAGGGTTGAAGCTCGCGTCTGTTTTATTCGCCTGTATCTTGTACGGCTGTAAAAAGGATCATCTCATTATGCGGCTGGAAACGTGTCGAGCTTTATTGGTGTCGTTACGATCTACATTACTCGCTGACTGTATATCTATATAGTATACCTGTGCGTCTATATCTATATACACAGGTAGTATCTATATACAAGTGTAATATGTAAATTACGTGGCGTATAAATCTACGTAATATCTCAAGCTCGTCTTCTCTTGGGATTCCACTTCCTTCTTCATCCCTTTATCCGTATCCATTGGTTTCATCTCCGTGGGTAGATACTCGCGAATCTGGAAAAGTAAATCTTCCATGGGAAAAAGATCCTCACACCCTGTATATCATTACGTCACGGCTTTATCTGTTATCGCAGTTGTGCGTTTTGCAGAATAATTTTTTCAAAAATTTATCTAAGAATTTAGGTGTTTTGTTTTTAATTTTTCGCGAATCCTGAGTCGATCAATTTGAGGGGATTGGCAAAATATTATAGAATTACGTAAAGTACAAACTCGTCGATTCGCTTTGCACTGGTTACTACCGATTGTCATTTAATTTTGGGGTTCCTGCCGTCGGCTAGGAGGATTGCCAAAATACTTGAGAATTTGCAATTGTAAGTATCTCGCTTTTCTTTTGTCGTCAGGGGGTGCACGCGCACTCTGGAATATTTTCACGGGTTGTACAAGTGCCTTGACGAGGTGCAAATGGCATCGTTGCCTTGCGAGGCTAGAGACAGGCAGACGAGCATTTATATATATATATACACACACGTGTATAGCTATGATCCGACCGAAAGACGCTTGGGGACAATAAATATATTGTTTCCCTTAGAAGCACTTTGCTCGAATAATAGAATTATTGATACAGTAGAGAGAGAGAGAGAGAGGGAGAGGGAGAGGGAGAGGGAGAGAGAGAGAGAGCGAGAGAGAGAGATGGGACATATATATAGGTACACAAAGATGAAGAGAGACAGAGACACCTGCCGAGCGTTAAGAGAGGCGACTAAACACTTTATTGCGAATCGGCAGACTCCACTAGAGAAAATGGGCTCGAGTCATAATAAAAAGGGGTAGGTCGACGACTAATGGGGTTGGAGCGGAGAAGCGCGAGCGGCGAGTGTGGCCTTTATACGTGTAAAAGAACGTAATCGTCGTGTCGTCGCATTGTCCTCGTCGCTTCTTGTCTCTCCTTCGGTATTTAAATAAATGTGTAATTAAACGCGGAGCAGCCATTCCGGAAATGGACGTCGCCATTATATTCTCGACGGAACTTTTAGAATTCCTGGCAAATTTCTTTTTTCTCTTTCTTTCCCTTTTATCCCCTCTCCGTCTTCTCCTCCCTCCCTTCCTCGTTTGCACGCTCAGTTTTCTTCGTTGAGGCAATTTACATTGAGCCCGTTTGTTTGCTGTGTTGAGGACAATAACCCCTGTGTCAACCCCTATCTCCCCTCCACGCACTTGTTGACCTTTCCTAAAAAGGGCAATACAAATTAGATTTTTAAGTAAATTTTACCTATCTGGCACCATGCCATTTTCACCCTCGTACCCCCTTCTTACCGTCCAAACGTCTCATGCATATATTCAGCCGGACTAAACTTTTCGATTTGGTATTTTTCTTTTTTTTTTAGTTTTATTTATTTTTTCTCTTGCCGTTGGCACTTCCTGTGTTGAATTTATTTACGGTATAGAAACTCAGGATGCTTTATGCTCTTTGTTCGTACCACAATTCCGGTTTTGGAAACGAATAGATTTTCTTGCTGACGCCCATACTGTGGTACGCTATTTGTTACTGTATGCATTTCTGTGCTGTATACTGTATATATTTCTGTGCCATATATACTGTGTAATATGTAATGCCATAAAGCGAATATTACTTCCGGTATTCGTGGATGGTATTAACGCGAAGGGAAGCACGTGGTGAATGCAACCACAGGAAAATTTGAATTTTGGTCAATCGATGTAGTATCCTAATGCCAGGTAAAATTTTTTTTTTTCAACGCAAAAACAGTTTTTTTCACAGAGTTCATTTATTGGTTTCATGGTTTCTTGAAAAAATTTCGACTGATTCACGTGGGATAAGAGAAATTTAAAAAATTCAAAGTTCCTTGCTCCTGTCTTCACAGGCTGACAAATACATGGAATAAATAATGCGAATCTTTTTCGCGTAGATATTCGCGAATCGCGTGCTCGCTCATGTAAATTTATGCTTTTACGCTCTATTGGCCGCGATTACACTCGGCTGAGCTTGTCCTCGATTTACGATTTGGAAAGGACAGGAAGCGGCTGAATTTGCCGATGTAGCTGTATACGTGATTTTAAGCACGTGGGAGAGTCAGGGTGCACGTAGTCACGTGATACTTAGAAATGTTATTTGTTTTTGAAATTTTTCGTAAAATTAACGTTTTATTATGCGGAGTCAAATAATTGTAAAGAATGAAGAACGGATCATGGGTACATGTATATATCCATGTAGTTGAAAAATAAATTCTGAACTGTGAGTGGGGTTGCAATATTTGCAGGGAATTATTGCATTTACCTCGGTTCAAACTTTTCCTCCGTTCGATGAGAATTTACCTTTACACCCCTTTCGTATCATCCGAATCTTCCAACTTTTCAGTCCAAGTTTCCTTCGTTCGGCATAGAACTATGAAACTCGTTAAAACTTATGTTATGCCGGATTCAAATTAGCGAACGAAGGAACCAGAAAATTTGACGAGAGCTTGATAATCGAAGTTTTCATAAGCAATTAGCAAAATTTCATACTCCTAGTTTTTTTTTTGTAAACTTTGATGTACCATATATACGCCAGGATTGGATGGCGAGTTTACCTGATTTACAATAAAAAACAAATCACAGTACGCTGTGGACTGAAAAAAAAGAACAGAAAAAAAATGTACAGTGAAAAATTTTCAGAGGACTTCCGGTTCACTGAAATTACAGTTCCTCGCAAACCACGTCGATTTAATAGTCTCGAGCCATCAGCCCCACAGCTGTATAATCCATCAGACTTGGGAATGATAAAAGTTGAACGTGCAATATATTATCAAAGTTACGAGGGTGACGGTGGCATGGCGGCCATAACTCGGGTCTGGATGCACGGCCCGTGTCTGATGTGGTCTTGCTAGACTGTCTAATTAGTTGTGCTGCAGTAACGTCACACCGGAAATTACAACGCGTCAGTTTGGGCACGGAGTTCCGGCATCAACTGGATATAATAAAAACATACAGAGTTGATTTTCCCCTGTGGTTCAACTTTTTGCTGAAATTAGAAAGAGTTAAATAAAGACTTTCCATGCCCCATGGGGGGTTGCGAGGGGTGGTTGAAAATAATGTATATATTACAGTCGTTTGAATTAATTGCACGAAAAATAAAAGATGCACCTACCCTTTTTTTTGTTTCAGAATCTGAAGAATCAAATCATGACGACCAACCTCTGGGTGGAACAGGTGAGCGAACGACGTAATTTTGTCGAACCTAAATTTACCCTCTGCCCTTATTGAAGTTTACAGTTTTAATTTTATATTTTGGTAAAAGGGCTGGTTTCATACGTACAGTAATATTTTTATATAAATTTTCTTTACCAATTTCTGTCTAGAAAAATTTTTGAATTTCATGATCCGTCATTCCCTCCCTTTTTCGTATAGCAGACATCCCTTTATCACTGGACGTCTTTGCAGTCACTTTTTGGTTAACGAGCCCAGAGTGTATTGAGTAACGGTGTTAGCGTGCTGACGACGCGTGTCACGTGGGTTTACTGATAACCTTCGTTTTCCCTATTTTATAACCCGGGTGGTATCTGAACGAAATGACGCTTCTGTGGTACGGGGCTGGTGTATTCGTACGTTACGTATATTTTCACGGAATGACAGGCAAACTGCCGGGTTTTGACGAGCGGACTAGATATGCAGATAACGCGACGATTTTGCTTCCACGTTACCGAATTATATGTCTGTTGCTTTTGGCCGTCTTTATAACCCTGGTTCGTTGTATAAAGTCCATATCTTTTGGGTATTGTGAATAACCGCGTTCCATGACGAATTTCATGTTTACCATGTCGAAGGGATCCTACGTATCGATGTACGTTCGAATTGAATTATCCTCCGTTTAACATTTTGATTTCCAATGTAAACGTATAAGGGATATATTTAATAAGGTCGAAAACCAACAGTGAAAAATACTTTATTTCGCACGTATCAGCGCACAGCGGTATTTACGGTGGTTTTCCCATGTTTCACAGTGGCGCACGTGTTTACCGAGGTTGGCTCGAAAAGTTTTGGTCACAAAATAATATATTTTCAATTTTCTAATCCCGCGGGAAAATTCATTTTGAATTTATCTGTTATTCTCAAAGCAACGCGTGTGTAACTTCGCTGTATACCTATACGGTATATGTATTTGGGATTTAGTTTCTATAGGTATATGTTGCCTCATAAGAGAAATGTTCTGTTTTCGTAATGGAGCCGATAATATTTCTTTTATCGTCTCGGCATTGAAACCGGATGCAGCCACTAAATCCGGTTCAGCCACTACATCCGGAATTCAGTTGAATTTTACAATCCTGATATTCACGCTGCTTCGACTCTTTTCTTCTGGACAAGTTTTACCCTTCGCCTTTTACAACCCTTATGCGATACTTGGATTTTTACCCTATTTTTGGAACAATTTTCTCGTCTTCAAAAATTCCACAAGTACCAAGGAATACTGAAATATACTGTCGAAGAGTGAATAATTATTCGAAAAAGTTTTCAAAATTTCCCGCCACTTTCACAAAGATGGCCGTCGGCCTGTACGAAAATCTTACGACTGGTCGATATAGACGGCCAGCAATTCGCATCCGTTATGACGGATTATAGTCCACGTGGTCTCTGTTTCTTTTTTGCCTTGAAAATTTAGCAATAGATACGTCCACGTTCCTGTTACAAAGAAAATACGTTTTCCGCAGTTCTTTTCCGACAGTCGATGCTTCCTCATCCTTATTTTTCATATATATATATATATATACAGTAATCTAAGACTCAACCCCTGCAATCCCACTTGAACCTCCATAAAATCGCGTACAATCCTAACACACAATTTCTTGCTTCAATATTTTCCAGTACCCAAGAGAATATACTTTTCTCTCTCTTTCCCTTTACATTCTCCTATGTGTTCTTGAGTATTATATTTTCAACGTCTCAGCAGCCACCCTCGCTCCGATTCGATATATCCGCGCGAATTCTCTATAGGGTCGCGACAAGTAAATCGGCTGGCGCACAAGCAATCTCGGCAGACAGCAATAAAATCATTGATATGTATAGACAGACGCATATGGTATATATGTATATTTCAAATAAAATTTTTTTCATACCCACAAAGTAGTCCTACTCTTCCCTCGATTTCAATTTATTGAAAGTCAATATAAACCCTATATACTTTCAAGCGATAAGTGACTACACATACCTTTATCCATGAAATGTACGCGCAACTATATATGCACGTTATTTTGATATACTAGACTGCAGAATAGCTGTATTCATATACCAATTGTGCCGGCATAAAAACATAACGAAAACCGTTTTCGTAAAATAACGCTGGCTTTCAGGAACGAGTGAAATAAATTTTCGTTAAACGAGACCAATTCTCCGTTGGGAATGTGTCAGGGGTTCTTTTTGGCATTCGGTTTTTACCTTAAAATAACGACGCGTAACTTTTTTCGTGGGTAATAAAAAATTTTGAAAAAAAAAAATGTCCACCTTTTTCATTTGTTCCAGCAAAAATGTTTATGAGACGTTTTTGAGTAGTGATTTTTTTTATATTCTACGAGATGTTACGTAATTGAATGACTGTATCAATAATTTGTTTATATATGTCGTATTGGCTGTTTCAAGTCGTGGTACGACTACAAGCTGCGATGGGAGCCCAAGGAGTACGGAGGGGTGCACATGTTACACGTGCCTTCGGATCACATATGGCGACCCGATATAGTTCTTTACAACAAGTAAGTCGATAATTGATTAATTGACTTTGTTTCACCTGCGTTTAATTATAACGTAATATTATCGAGTAGCGGCTAAGCACGACGCCCAGAAAATTAGAGTCGAATGGACGTGACGCTTGTATTTTATTTTATTCGTACATTTTGATATAGCTTTTTTTTTTTTATTACCCGGCAGCGTTCGTTGTTCGTTATGACGTTTAGTTTTTTTTCTTTTTTAATCAAACAGGAGAAAATTAATTAAAATATTTTCACGGTGCCTGCACTTTAAGGTCACGTGATACAACGTATGGTATCGAATGTCCACTCGACTCGTACGAAACAACAGAGTTTCTCATACGTGTACGTGTATTACATTGCTTATGGTGAATATTGAGAAAAGAATTCACCCTGGCGTGCAATTCGAAAAAAATGATCGCCCATTCGAGACGCAACGATATTTTGTCTTAACTGTTTATGTTTTTATCATCGAAGTAAAAGCGATATAGATTTTTTCATAATATTTTTTTATTCGCTTACGATCGTAAAAATTCTATTTTGTTGGTGTCAATAAAAACAAACTTGTTGGTTTTCTCTCTCTTCCTTCTCACTCTTTTTCATATCCCAGATACAAAATCCGTCTTTGTCTGACTTCCATTTTCTAATTCCCACTGTGCCTATACCGATCTATATAGATATATACTGCAATCACATACGTCCTTTATTTGCCATTTCCACATTCCGCAACCCCAAACCGTCACCCCTCTATGAGCGTGTTTGCATAAATTTTTCGCACGGCCGACGAGCAGGCGAGAGTGCAAAACTTGGGCCGAATTTACGTTCGTTTGGCACGTCATTCCCGTTGGTTAAATTACGATAAGTCTGAAACGTAGACGGGATAGATTCATATCGCATGAAAATAGGGGCGCTGCGGCGAGTGTCTGGATGAGCACAGGAAAAGTGAAAGTGACGAACCAAAAAAAAAAAAAAGAAATTACGCAACATAAAAAAATCCAACCCTGACACGTTACCGGTATAAGACAGAGAGAAAATAAAAGAAAATGAATAAATTTCGCAGCCTCCATTCGCTTCCCCCTGAGGCAATCTCTCGGAGATCAGGTGTATCCGGCGCAAGGATGTTTGTCACGGACAGTCATCAGGAAAGGGAATCTCTATTCCCTTACACTATATAGAAGGAAGAATTCGAGACGAAATTCTAAATCGTCACCAGCACCCTTTTCTACTTTGAATTTCATTTCCAGCCCTGATATAGGTACACAGAGAGTATATGGAATTTCAGATACACCAGGGACATATGTATGTATATACACTTGGGCTACTCGTTTAGGGACGGGAGGGGGATGCCTATCTTTTTTATTAAAAAAAGAGAATCAATACTAGACGATCGATAGCTTCGATTGGTTTTCGCACGTTTTATGTACACCCCTATTTTTAAGGGTCTGTTTCTATATATATCGTATATTTACGCCTGGTTATATTTACCATAGTGGATTTACATCGCTATACTCGATTCGCATCATCACGTAGGGAATTACGACTCGGATACATTTCAGAGGGTGGGTCGTGATGTACTTTGAATTCTGAAGATTGGCGCCATTGTATATCACCGTCCCCGTCCTACGCGTAGCTATCGATAGGGCGTCGCGACGGAAGATTAACGTACATGTGAAATGAGTATATACGTTTTGTATACAGGGATAGATACTCACTATTGGATTTCGTGTGTATACTATGTTCGTGCTTACTTTTTTTTCTCTATGTCTATACAATTTTTTAGTTTTCTTCTCAGCACTTCAGCCAGGTTGCAAATGCTATTCCTCTCGGTTGGTTTCCTCGGTGTGTAGTCGAGAAAATTTTTTTTTCCCAACAAAATTTCATTCGGCTTCATCCCTCATTTTGACTTTGTGTCAGCAATTTCCGCCGTGGAGTTAATTCGATTTCTTCTGGTTCCATTAGTTACTTTTATTTTCCTCGTTTTTTAGGCACGACCGCGGTACGCAAGTGCCTTATAGTTTCTATCGCGAAAAATGTGTGAGATGCGATATCTCACGCAATTTTCGGCCGATCAGGCTGAAATTTTGGGGGAGGTCTCCTCTCGTACAAACTAAAAAACTATTTTTTTTTCCCGATCTTCTACGTCGTTTCAAAATGGGAGCACAATTTGATCGATTTTACGATTTTTTCGTGTATTATTTAATAAAAATTTTCATATTACACGATTATCTCTGAGAGACTTCAGTCAATCGGGCTAAAATTTTTTGTGGGGACTCCTCTCATCACTGGAACCTTATGGTTCTATTTTGAGCTTGATCCTGTACATATACGCAGAATGCGGTCACCTCCAAAAATCGCTAAAAACGGTTTTTTGTCTGCAATTCGAATTCTAAGCATTCTACAAAAAAATGTTAAATGGAAAAGTTGTAGATCTTTCAAAAATACAACTTTTTCCTGTTGACATCAAATCATGAAAATGCTTTCTACTCAAGTTAGCAGCCCAAAATCGGGTTTTTACAGCAATGAAAACGCTTTTTAGGCTGTAACTTGAAATCTAAGCATTCTACAAAAAAAAGTTAAATGGAAAAGTAGTAGATTTTTGAAATATACAAAGCGCGAACGTCAGCGGTCGTGCCTTCCCACTGCGGCCGGAAGGCTGCGTGTGGCGCGCTAGTTCTTTTTTCCCTTTTCTCGTGCCACTTCCAATCCTAATTCTTCACCTGTCGTCATACTGAAATCGGGAACGTGTGGAGTGATATGATTTATGATGTAGGTACTTTCCTTGTTGCTGTGACGATACGAGAGATTATGAATGGTCGAAAGATTTTTGCGAATTTTCGAAGAAAAATATATTTCGAATTCTGCGAACTTTTTGAAGATTTACGTAATTCTAGAAGAATTCAGTTCGAAAGTGACAGCTGTCAAACACGACGGTGACTCAGGAGGGTCGGATCAGTTAACGTAATTTAAAAGCGAACGAGAAAACTATTTTCGTCAAGAGGGTGCGAAAAGAGTTTTCTCGTGGGCAAATCCACGAAGGATAGCCGCTGGAATCTCTCGCGAAATATACGTCGGCGAAAGAAACACGTAAAATAATTTATCATTCCCGGTACAGTTGGGTTCTATAAATTCTGGATACGAGTCGTAGGGATGTTTTTTTGGGAAAAGAAAAAAAAAAATCTTCCAAGTCCAGAGGTATCAAAAGACATTTATGAAGTAGCGTAAAAAAAAACATGCCTATATCTACCGATCCATTGAGTAAACTTTGATCTTTTCTTTTCCCCTACAGAAATTTCCTTTTCACGTCAATTTTGCGATTTTAGGACGTCATTGTCAATTAACGTTACCCGTGACGTACTGCTGCGTTAATCTCCTTGCCACCAAAACCTGCCATACAACAAGACGGCCGTAGTGCATATATTATATGAACTTGCCGATCTCATTAAAGTCTTAATTGATCCCCAGCATTAGCATCGGCATAGGGGCTCCTGTGTTATAGGCACATAATGCCAACCTAACCTAACAAACTCTGAATCCAAAACCTCGATTAGGAAATCGCTTAGAGATACCATCAACGGGGAACTCAGTCCAGTCTAGATTCCGGCCTATGGGAAACACGCGGATATCCCTCTGGCAGCCGGTTGTACCAACCTGACGTTAATACGAACATTCCTCATATGCGGGATAACGCGTATACAGTGTTACAACTATGCTTGATATACCATGTACCAGCTGCACGGAATGTAGCACACGTGTCTAAGCAGATAGAGGCACTTTGAGATTTTGGTATTGACCCATTGAGCAATGGACACAAAATATTTCGACTTAATCGCATATTCCACAACACGCTGCAATATGAATTGCACAATTTTTCGGGGGTGACAGGAATTCATAGGTTATTGGGTGACTATAAACACAGTGGCGTAGGTGGCTTTAAAATTAACCCTTTTTTCGGACCTTTCGATTGGAATATACCTACGTATATAGATGCTATTTTGTCGGACTTCATATCGATATGTTTCTCTTACCTCTGCATATGGCACAGGTCGAAGGTTACCTACTCTGGATAAATAGGGTTGATTGCGCTGTTGAAAGTTCTTGCATGCACTGCCAAGATGAAAACCTTGAGCTCGCTTGATTAAATCGGCGACCCAATTGAAATCTCCTCGGGGACAATTAAATGCCTGTGGGTACACAAAGAAGTGGTGATTGCTAATAGCAATTAGAAGATCGTTTAATGAATTATGATCGATACTCACTCCTACTACGGAATAGCAATATTGAATCTATTGGATATAGAACAATGGAGTGAATATTAATTCTGGTACGAAAGGTGGTTTTTTGAGGAAATTTTGTAAATTACGTAAAATTGATGCATAGATAATTTTTCATGAAAATGAAGTACATAGATCGACGGTATGATACGGTGAGGCGTGGATTTGTTGATTGATAATTATTAATTCTTGAAAATCGTGTCCACCGTGCGACGGACGAGCTTAATTTAATTTTACATCGATTTTATTGCAGTGACGTAACATATAAAAATATTATATCCTAGATTAATTGCTCGGTATTATAACGTCTGGTAAATTGAATTTCGCGCATGGGTAAGTAATAAAATTTGCAAAATCAGCATTCGCGATATTTTTTATGCACGCTGATCTATAGATATACAGAGACGTACGTAACTATCAGCCCTCGTCGCTGGATTTTGCGAAATTAGTCGAAAGTTCAATGGCCGCTAATCGATTTTTATACTTAAGGGTAATTTTGAGAATATTTTGAAAAATTTTTTTATCGTTTTTTTTATTTTCAAAAATACAGTCCCGATAAGATAAAATTATAATAAACAGTCTGAATTTATTGGTGTAAAAAAAAAGTGAGCCTTGGAAACATCAACTGTCATAAGACGTCGAACTGTCAGAGAGAAAAAACAGTATATTGTAAATTGATGAAATGCTCGTAAAATCAATAGCATTTTTGTGTAATTTAACGAATCTTGCCCTTACCCTAATATCTTTTATCTCGTGATCCCCGGATTGTCCCGGTATTTTAAAAAATGCCCGGAAATCAAACGACGACTTCAAATAAGACCGAACCAGCCACCCTCAATCGTATTCAAGATCTCCGAAGGATCCTCGAGGATCTTCGAATTTCGTTGGATCTGGAAAGAAGCAGATTACAGGAGGAAATGCAAAAGATCGTTTGGACTACTTATTGCGCAACGGATCCAGAATATCCGAAAGGACACGAAGGTTCCTTTCATCCCTTATAAAGGATGCGGATATATCCTGTCGCTAGGAGTCCTAAGGAGAGTCGAACGATCAAATGCCGAATGGGAAATGCTCGTTCCTGTCGCAGATAACTTGGCTTTGGACGAGGATCACTTGGATGTGGGACGGCAGCTACGAACTCATTCAATTCAGTTATCCAGTAGGAGATACGATGACTGGAATGTAAGTGCCATAGTTTGCTCGAACCGAGTATAGGATTCAGAGAAAATTTTACTAATTTTCTTATTTACCTGTCATCCAACTTTTTTTTTTATTTCCTTTTCAAAAAACCATTCATATTCCTATATCTTTTTTCTCTCATACTCGATTATATATCATGCCAGGGTTATCCAGAACGACTGATAATCACTGAGGATTATATCGACGGCGGCCATATTGCTCGTTCGACACTCTCGAATCTATCGAACTTCTACAAGAAAAAGATTCTCGATCTTCAGGCGGATTGCTGCGCGGAATTAAATCAGGTCAAGTGTAGATTTATCGAGTCTTTTCAGGGTATGGAAAATTGGCAAACGCGCAAAAACAAATATCGCGACCAAGTATTTGCAAGGATAAAAAGTCATCGAACAGTTGGCGCCACTGTCGCGCGTGACACGAGAGATGAGGATGTGTGGAAAATAGCAGCTGGCGAGCGTAAATCTCTCTTCAGATCAAAGTACGTTTTAAGATTTTATGATCAAATTTTTTTTCGTCGAAAACTTTTTTTTAAACATTTTTTTGAATAATAAAATTTTACTCCTTTCAATTTTCAATTGAAAGTTACGATTTGATTTCCAGAGTTACTCGTTACGTTTCATCGATTTTATTTGTATGATATTCACCCCCCCTCCCCCTCCTCCTACTGGAGTTCTCTTACCATTCATTCCCTTTGACAAGTTTTTTCATCGCTCTAAACGAACGCTGAAAATCATCCTCACGATTTAATAGATCTCTGGTCGTCGATAAAGTTCAAAGCTTCTGGTCGAGCAATGTCTGCTGTACCGGGAACCGTAGCGACGCCGACATTTGCGGTTTGATCTACTAGGCATTCGGATTCACATTTCGAATATCGCTCGAGTCTTCGACGTTACTGACTTTCACTTCATCCCAGAGTAATTCGACGATATTTCCGTGGTCAAATTGAAAACGCTTCTAGCACCAGTAGTACGTATAACCTCGACGACGTCATTTTGAAAAAAAAAAAAAATAAGAAAAAAAATATCACAGTAGCAATACCAGCCGGTGAATTTGTAATTGAATAATTTGTAGGATATATACAATAATTTGTATCTATTATTATACATGTTTATATCGATATCCAAAATTTGTATGAAATATTCATTAAACGAGGTATCAGATAAAAAATGATTATTTTGAAAAATCACAGTCATTCCAAAAAAAAAAACATAACAGAGACCCGAAGTAACGTAATGCACTGAGGCCATCTGGCAAAGGATAATCCCTGCTAAAACGTCAATCTCATTCGAACCCGAAAGGCATTCTGGGTACTTGGGTCTCGTGGATTAATGAGATGAAGTTTTTAACGACGACGAACCCGCCGGAGAATCTTTAAGTCGCGGGTATGACGTGGAGGAATGATGACGGAACGTCGAGGGAGCAACGGGAGCGTCTAGCAGGTCGTCGGATGTCAGAGGTCGGAGGTCGTAGTGCATTAGATTCGCCGGCTAAGCCTTTTATAAGGGGAGAAGTAGAGTGATGGGACAAAGGCGAAGTCTGTCTTGGTGGTTTCGAGTGAGGGAAGGAAGGAAGAATGGAGAGTAAGGAAAGAAGCGAAGAAATGGTGAAGTGAAGTGGGTATAGCACGAGTCTAGGTAGCCAGAATACCATCGAGTCTACCAGCCGCCATTGTATGGCCAAAGTGCACTCTCTGCTAAATCAACCCCCTTTTCTTCATCCCCTCGTCAGATCTCAACCCCTCATTCTTCATTTTCTCCTCAGCGTCCGCCACGTACATTCCACGCGTCTATCCCGCTTTGGATTCCCCTGAATCTCCTTCTACTTAACCTTGGCCAAATGCCGAAGTGCATCTTGGGTAAGAAGATGGCCGACTCTTGGAACTCTCGTTGAAACCTGTATTCACTTGGCCGTTGGATAATTTGAAATTTTTTGAAAAAAATTTGTTTTCTTCAATTTACTATTTTTAGTCTCTCACTTTTATATACGTGTATATAGAAGCACTGGTTAGCTCTGCCAAGACGGCTGTTAGAGTTGTTCGGGTATCCGGTTGATCTTTTGAAAATTTTCAATGTCCGTTATCGGACTCTTATCAGGGATGGGTATCACGAGTGTCAGATATTTTAGGTTATGTATATTTAGAGTTGAAAGGTTATTCGTTCCCATGGACCGTGTCGATTAAAATAGCAAAATTTGAAATTCGGTTTGGGTCACGTTCGCAACGGCAGTAATAGGCACGTAGACGTACAAGGGCTGTTGCTACTGAATCAAAGTGAGTCCAGTGCTGACGTTTCCGGTTACTTGAGCATTCGGACTGTTCCTTGATTTATCGTTTACGGTCAGAGTAAAGGGTCTGTTAAACGGTGGTCGACATTCAATATTGGTCAGGTGACTAACATTTACTGCCTTTATAGACTCAATGGTAGTCAGCTTTTTCTCTTTTATGTTCTTTGGGTTAGGTTGGGTGGGTACATACTATTACGGGTCGATCCACTCTTCCCTCGTAGTCAGGGCGTCGGCGTCGTATTTACCCGTTCGCTTTGACGAAATAAATTTTCATCCCTTTGATCGTCATCCGCGATTAAATAATTTTCGATATACGATTAGTTTTGAAAAAAATGGGGTTGATAACAAAGATAGGTTTCAAGGGGCTTTACGGGAGACCTTACCGTCTAAGGTTCCTCGAGCTTCCTAAGTAATTGGCTAATTTTCATAATTAGCCAGCAATATCGACTCTCAATTAACCCGATAATGGCGACTACCGTCGTGGCAGTGACTCTTGAGATTTATTAACGATGAACCAGGATGGGATTATCAGGCAATTTGTCCTTATCTTCCGATCTGGTCGGAGTTGCTTGATTGCTCGTTTTCTGTAAAAAATTGAAAAAAAAAGAGAGAGGATTCATAACTGGCTTCTTTATCGGCTGATTGTTATTAAAGTTTACGTGCCCGACGAGATATCGCACTTTGGGATTTAATTCAGTTTTTCTTTTTGATCTTCCCGCTTGAGACGAGGCCGCTTAGAATTGCGGCTGAAAACAATTACGAGGGATTTTCGTTGAAAATCCTCCAGCTCCAACAGAGACTACTCACTAGCCCCTTAGCCTCCCTTATCTTTAGCTTCCCTCTTTTCTCGATCAATGATTCATAAGACGTAACCATCTCTGGACCGTTTGATCCTAGACGAGGTAAAAATAAAATGCCCTTATATTCCTTTATAAAAATTAAGAAAATTATTTTTTTTTACAAATCCAATATTTTACTATAAAACGACGTATCACTTTAATCTAACGAGATTCCTGTTAATTGACATTTTTATAATCCCTATAAAACCTAGCAACGTTGCTTCTCTTGTCTGCTAATACGTGTGGCGCTTTGACGCCGACGATGCCCTTTTCTCTACCCAACCATATCCCAGGATTCATTGTTCCCACGGGAGCGAGACAGGAATTGAACAAAAGGGTTGAAAAGGACTAAGTGAAAAAAACATTCCACCGGAACGAAATCTTTTTTATTCTTTGTACCTTCGTACGGCTATGTTGTGCCGGTCGAAAATTGATTAGGGTTAACTTTGAGTACCAGTAGTCTGTACTTTTTGTATTTCCACTTTGTTTTTGTATTTTCTGAAAAAGTAACGCGTTCGCATTTTTCCACCAGCCTATATCCACCAGCCCCATTCCCATTCACTACTTAAAAATACCTTAACCCTTTATGGGAAACACACCCCTAGGTTTTTCATCTGCGTAACCAAATGATTTTGCTTTCGTCCTCTTCTTTCCATTTGCTTTAGCATCTCCTCTCTCTTTCGCTACCCACCAACAGACTCAGATCCATGATCGTTCGGCAGTAGCTACCGGTTTTTGGAATTTACTAAAGTTTCTGCCAATCGAATTCCAGGCGCTCCCTTGGGCCTCTGGGAACACTCGATATTCAGTTAGCGGAACTTAATTCCCAGAAGATCTCGAAGGCTGGCGAAGGTTCGAGGGGCGGTGGGTCTGTGTGAAACGTTTCTAAAAATTAGCTGGGCTAATTTACTCTTGGCGTGTAACGAAAGCCTCGATTCCAATTGGCAGTTTAGAGAATCGTGACGAGAGAGGAAAAGAAAAAGTCTGGAGAAAAGGTCGAGAGTAAGGTTTAAAAAAAAACAAAGAAGTTAAAAGGGCAGAGAGAGAGAAAACCTTTGCTACGTGAGCTCGAGTGCCAGATGCCAATTCGATTTCCAGGCACGCGAGCAAAGTGCCACGTCGGTTCGTCTTCGGCGAAACTCATTTCCTCGGATGAGTTTGAAGGGAGTCGTGCGGGATGAACCTAAAGAGACCTCTGAATATACACACGTATATCTGTTTCAAATAGCAAACGAATATCTCTGAATTCTTCAAAGCCACCACGTCTTCGACTCTTCGTGTGCACAAGGATCGAAACGATATTGTCGCATGTTTCGTTATTCACCCGTAATACGTAATAGCGTGCAATTAGATCTTAAGAAAAGTCACTCTCGACCGAGGTAATAGAATTTTTTTTTCGAGAAACTTCATACAGCCAGACTCGGTCTACCTTCCCCAGACTCGATTTAAAGAAACGTCATTTTTTTAATGGACCACTCTTGCAGTACTCGAGAGAGCAATCAGAATTACTCTGAAACATTCTTCCACCTTTTCTTCAATAGCACACTCCCTTTTAAGAGACTGACTCTGCTATCGACCTGGAGATGCAATATCGAGAAGGACACTTTCCCGAAAATTTCCAGACCCGCGTCAGGCAGTGGTCTCGAGTGAAATAGAAGTAGGGTGAAAAAAAAATGGCAGGAACTAAGATCTTCAGCATCCCGGTACTTGGTACAAGTAATTGAGTCAGCCATTTAATCTCAACAGGACACAGACACTACCCATCCAGTATCAACTAACCTATAAACCAGCTTATCGAATTATCCAAACGATTTATCGTCCAAGATCACTCGGTTGATCCTCATCTCACGTTTAATTCTTTCCAAGTGAATTATATAAGTTATATAAATATATTAAATAAATATTTATTAATTAATCTCGACCTCAATCCTCGTGCCGTCTACCCATCGGCCCATCGGATCGTTTCGCACACGATCCTGATGCTCTGATTAATTCTACTCGAAGGTCTCCAGGTGGCAGCAGCATCGCCAAGCTAACTCGCGTTACTCGCAGTTTCAGTTTGTTTGCTTCGGGATCGCGAAAGTGGTTGTTTATCAAACACTCTGGAATTGTTTCAAGCTTCCCGGCTAATTCCGTAGAATATTGATGGTACTCCGATAATGGAGTATTCGAGCAAGTGGTCCCAGGTTCAAGCTTGTTTTATCGAGCTCGAACGCGAAGTACGAATAGAACGCCGTTGCTATACCAGCGGCAGCCACTGTTACCGCCATTACTGTTGCAATTTCCGGTTGATTGTAGTTGCGCAATCAATGGTTCACTGGCTGTCCAGTACGCGTATTTGCTTAGTCGGGAAACGATATCATCGCGTTAGCCCGCGCTTACGATTCGTGTACAGCTCGGCCATACGTCATATTGACTGCAGTGATCGGTACTGTGATTATTATTTCAGTTTTCAATCCAGCCATTCGAAAACGGAAACGTACGAAGCAAACGCGGCTATCGATAATGCCGAATATATTCACGGGACGTTGAATAGGCGCGTTTTCACGGTCTCTGGAAGTTACGTAACGAGAGAGAGGTCGAAATTGCAGAACGAACTTTTCACCAAAGAGATTAATGAAAAATCATTACTCTCCTAGTTCCTTCGAATCCCTCCGAGCACCGAATCTCTTAGTAAAATTTATCAGTGATTTTTCTCATTTACGTTAATTACGATCGCGTCTCCGACGTAACGGCTGACTTTTTCCCAGGCTGCGGCTAAATGATAATTTAACGACAGACTATCGGCTCTCCCGGTAAACGCAGCCGACGCCCATGGCGCGATGGTAATTTTGGCAATTACGAGAACTCAAGTCCTCGAGGGTTGTCAGGGGCAGGTTAGACTGCGTATTTTTTCAACCCTCTCGTCGGGAAGGTTATTACGCGTCAAGAGTTACCGTTAGTGAGAGTGACTGAGATAGAGAATGGGGGGGAGAGAGAGAGAGAGAGAGAGAGAGAGAGAGAGAGAGAGAGAGAAGCCTTTGGAAATAGTGCTAGCGGGAAGACGCGTGTTTCTAGGGGAATATCTGGGTTAATGAATTGCCAGCGAGGAGGGTCACGTGCACTACTTGTGGGGCAATGGGGCTGAGTTAACCCTCCCAGAAGTGGGGTTGCTGATGGGGTAGAACAGTGACTAAAGCCAGGAAGTGCGAGGATGCCGATAAGAATGTTATGACAATTTTAAGATCGGTAGAGACTATCGATTGGGTCCTTCTTATGACCCCCCGTTTTTCTACTTGAAGATATTCTTGTCACGTGACCACACGTACAAGGGAATCCTACTCTCGTTTATCCCAAGGGTGAAATCTTCTCTCTCAGTCACTCGATTAACCAGCATCCTTCTAGCATACTAACTATTTCATATTTGTCGAAATCAAGCCTTGGGATCCTACGCTTTTTGTTTGCTTTGTACACAAGGTATGGTTGGCTACCCCTATAACGGGCTGTTAGTCAATGGACCAATGAGCTTACTTCGATTAAACATCGCATTTACATTTTGTTTTTAACATCCAGGTCGTTTGTAAATATATAGATGTACTGGCTGTATGTTTTTGGCCTTGTTAGGTATACTTTGTGCGTATATATGGGCTTGATGACAAAACAATCCCACCCACGTTTCATCCACGAAAATCCATCGACCCTTCGCTCTCGGGGGAGTCGGGAATTAGATAGTTGGTTTGTTTCGGACCCTGGGGAGGATTACACGATCCTCGGTAATAAGACGACACTTGACGGTGGCTTCGGGGTCAAGGAGTTAATCATTCAATGGTTAGATGGTATTTATTGGATTGATACGAGGATTATTTACCCTGAGAGGATGCACGATCTTATCGTTACTCAATTCACTCGTTCGATGTAACCTGTGAGAAATCCTAGTTGTATATCGGTTTGGGTGTAGCGCGTAGCCACCTAGCGGAGATCTAGAACAACAGATAATGGAAGCTCTTTCTCGGACTGGAAAGGAGAAACGTCTTCTTTGCAAATGTTTATGATCAGAATGGTCGATATGATCAGCAGGGGAGGAACCCCTTGACCCGTGTTAAAGACGTGGTGCCCAGCTGTCGTCCGATGCCCTGGGCAAGCGGCCGTGGAGGATCTCCAAAGTTACGTACCGATTCGCTAAGGAACGCTCTCGATTTGGTTTAGAGGGACGACTCGAGGGAGATGGAAGAGTTATCGACTATAAGGATCTCGACCAATCAGAATGATTAGTTCTCGAATTTGGCTATTTTGTCAAGGCAGTCTGCCTCGGGGCACCGACCGAGGTGTCACGGGCTGCCTCGCGCTCCCGTGCTGTCTGTTTATAGTTTTTCTAGCCGCGTTTCGATACGGTATAGAAAGTTCTCGCTCGTGTAGCTCTCGCGTTGCTCTCGCGATATCCAGGAAATTTTACGGATTTCCTGTGAGTGTTCCGGAGGTGTAGTGTCGTGCCCTAACGCAGTGCCTGCCCGAGTGTCCTCTGGATGCAATTCTCGGCTTTCACCGATCACCTGCACCACCTCCGATGAGTTTTCCCAATTTATTAATTGGTGAAGGGATTTCGATTTGATAGTTCAGATTCGTTCTATTGCGTTCTCGATCCGTTGCTCTCTATATTCCGCACTATCTGCCTGACTCTTACTCCGACCCTCCCTAGCTTCAACCTAACAGCCTGAGCGGCCATGCATTTCCGTAACCGTCCGCTCCCGTTCGTGCATCCAATTGCGTTTGCTGATTTTACGCGTCCTTAAAAATCAACAGGATCCGTTATCGTCTTTTCTGCTAGGTTCCGTGAGATTTCTAGCTTTGGTGGAATTGGGCCTGTTCCTTTCCCAGTTCATACCGGCTCGTCAGTTCCCGGTGAAAAAATAATTGGTTGACGCCCGTCTGGCTTGCGGATGCCTGAGCAAAGGGTGGACGGTAAGCGTGGAGGGTGGGCGAAGGTAACGAAGGTTAGTTCTCGGATTTTTTCGCTATCGGCGTCGAGTTAAGAAAGATACGTTGCAATATACATACCTACTGGTATAGAGCAGTTATATATATCTGCTCGTACAGTAGGACTCTACTACTCTATTATCTACTCCAGATGCAAATTGTTCATCGTGCCCTTTTAAAATTTCACGTACAGTAGGTCATTTGCATATTCCTACACATTACGATTTGACTGGTGAATAGCGAAGACCTCGTTAGTGTTACAACTGTCAGGTGACAAATAACGTCCGTGTACATCAGCCATGCGCATGGATACTTTTTTTGGACTCGGATAATATTTTTGAAAAAAATGAAAATGAAAATTTATCAATCACACGTTCAAGTTCACGTTGTTCAACGTGAAGGGGGTGAGGCTCGTAAGGTTTGAGGGTTTAGCGATAAATTCTTAAAAGGTCGTGTCTAGTTACTTTCTTTTTGGCTAATTAAAAATAACGTAAAGTGGGAATCGTTGAATCGTAAGTACAAAGTAAGCTCGACCGCCGCAGCGCCCAGAACCACTAATGTGCTCGCTCGCAGCGCGGACGGCAACTTCGAGGTGACGTTGGCCACCAAGGCCACCATCTACCATCAAGGCCTGGTCGAATGGAAGCCACCCGCCATATATAAATCCTCCTGCGAAATCGACGTGGAGTACTTCCCCTTCGACGAACAGACCTGCGTCCTCAAGTTCGGTTCGTGGACCTATGACGGCTTCAAGGTAAACCAGCATGGTAGATCTTAAGGTGGCTGAACGAGTTTGCGACACGTGGACCACGTGATCCAAGTGATCCTGGAAAGCGTCCTCGCCATTTTGCAGTAATAGCATAAGCATTGCGCCGTTGCGTAACATAGTAACCTGGACTAAAAAAAAAATTATTTACTTGGGTATCCAAAAGTACCCTTGAAAAAAATGTCGATGCTCCATCCCCATGCAATTTTTCGGGAAAATAATTGACGTCGATAGGTCGAAAGAAATTTTTTGATACAAAAATCTACAAAAATACATAGAGCAACGAGCAAGGCCGGTGATCGATCGTATTTAGGTCGTAATAGTGGAGCATCGAAATTTGGTCATATGCGTAAAAGGGGGAAGCTGTCGTTTAATAATTATTTTATAAACAATTATCAATTTGCGAAATGTTAATACTTCGTATTTGTTAATTTGTCATTTTTATTTAGAAAAAAATAAGTGAATTGCTAACTCCACGACTGACAGCTTCCCCTCGATTTTTCAGGACCAATCGCGATCACGTGGGGTTGTTCTTCGGTGATTGCAGCGCCGACGGCAACTACGAGGTGACCCTGATGACCAAGGCCACGGTCTACTATACGGGGCTGGTCGTCTGGCAACCACCAGCCGTTTATAAATCGTCCTGCTCCATCGACGTTGAGTTCTTTCCCTACGACGTACAGACCTGTGTTTTGAAGTTAGGCTCATGGACTTATGATGGGTTCAAGGTGCCGATAAACAAACGAATCAATACGACAGTCTTGATGATTTGTTTTTTCTTTTTCATTTTTCTCTTTTTTTTTTCAATTAAACTCATTAATTTCTCGTTATTCATTAAATCAATATCATTTATGGATCGTTTCGATTATTACGTCTGTCCTTGGTTCACGTTACGAATGCATCGTTAAACGCCGGCTCGTTACATTTTCGTGCGATGCGCTGTTGGACGTGTGATATATCGTATTTTAATATTTATTATATTGGCAGTATTGATCGGCGTCGTTCGTTCGTGCGTTCGTTTGTACATTTACTTCATGGTGTTCTTGAAGTGACAGATTTAGCTGCTGATGTGTTTTGTCATAAAAAATAGCGATCCCTGATAATATGTATATTACGACGATAAGGATATAAACGAACGATCTATTGATAAGTCAATTACAAAACTGAATTTTTTAAGATCCTACGTATATTGTATGAATATTATCCTCATCGTTGTACACACGGATCGATAAATATTAATAATAATTAGTCTCCTTATTTTTTATGGGACAATAGTGAATGATGTCGGTTTGACGTTTTGTCACTTTTTGAACGGGCCGCCAGCTGGAATTGGACGTTCAGCCTGGATTCTGGATTCTTCTTGATTGTTTATATATAGCTGTTGGACGTCACTGATACACTCGAAACACGTGGGAAAGGTATAAAATTATTGTCAATCAAAAGTGCGGAGGCCGCGAGGGTATCGAGAATCACCTGGGAGACTATATCGAAAATTATAACCAATTGTTACTTGTATTATATATTTTCATAAAGGACAACTGTTTACTTCAATGGCACGATCGGTGCTTACTTTAACACTCGGTGCAACGATACGGGAGATACGTTCGCCTTGTTTCTCCTTGTCTCAATTACAGTGGAGTTGCATTTTTTTTTACAAAATCCTTATCGTAAATCACAGCTCACTGCACGTTGTTCGATTCGAATCTCACGGTTTAATGTCTCGGTTTCCGGATTTGAGAAGCAAATCCAAGATTTAGTGCTCTTTATAAGGCTACCTACGGTATTGAGTATTTGGTAATAAAAAGTGGAGGAAAAAAAAGAAGTTGGCAGTTGCGACGGTACCGCCATTTATTCTTATTGAGAACTCGTTTACATCTGAACTTGATATGTATGTGTATATATATATATATATATATATATATATATATATATATATATATATATATATATATATATATATATATATATATATATATATATATATATATATATATATATATATATATATATATATATATATATATATATATATATATATATATATATATATATATATATATATATATATATATATATATATATATATATATATATATAGCATATGTAAAGTTACACTAAAGATTTCTTGGGTGTACACTATAAATTTCTGCTCGAACGACCTGAACTTTTTATTTTATTTTATATAATACTCGCCGGATCCATCGAGATATTTTAATACTTTGAATTTCCCGCTCATTCGTCATCCTCATGACGATTCACTGTAAATATGTACTGTAGATGGAAATCTGATGAGAGCACATTTTTTTTTTTCGTATTTGAATGATAAGAGGACATTTTTTTTTTAGAAGTTTTTATACGAAATTTGGTATCAGTGAAGATGGAGAATATATGGTAATCGGACTTCCGGTTTTTTTTCTCTCATGAACCATATATTAATCAAACGAATCATATATTCCTGAACACCCGGTAGACTTTCATTAAATGTTTCCGCGATCAGATATTCTCATAATCATTCTCAGTCTCATAATCATTCGGTGATTTCTTTCAGGATAAAAATCACAGGAATGATAAATATATTAGGGATGATCGATATTTCCTCGTCTCACAAGGAAGCCCCAGTCTCCATTTATTTGTGGAATTATGGACCCCTGAAGAATTTTTGATCGATTCAATCTACTTCTGAATGCTACTCCGGCGTCTCTTGGTTATTTGGAATTACTGTTTTTTTTATCAATTTCATTCAGCTTGTTGAATTTCCCTTATCCGGTTGGAGATAATAATTCAGAATAAATGGTTTGAATAAAAAATACAATCATTTCGAAAAATTAGAGCTATCAAGTTTTACGGGGTTCGTTTCTCAAGATTGATGGATTTTCTTAAAATACCAGAAATCCATCATCTACGCTTAATTAGCTTTCACGTTGATTCCCAGAATTAACCAAACTACCTAAAATCAATAAAATAAGTTAATTATCTCTGACAGTGATAATTAGTATGCCGAGAGTTTACCCTGTAAACTTTTTCACCTTTAGCCACCTGTATCATATACCAAGAGTCTACAATTTTTCAAGTTTCCAACCCCTGATCAGTTAACCTCCTTCAGGATCGATATTAATCCACCAACAGTAAGTTTACTTGATTTCACTAAAATACACAGTAGCTATTTAGCCTATTAACAATTAGGTACTTTTTCACCGATTAATAATAAATTCTGCACGCGTCCTTCTGGTATCGGGCAAAATTAAAACCTTCGCGCACGAGTATCACGCGAACCTAAAATCGAGTAGAGAATGTTCTCTTAGTTGCCATATACCCAAGAAGGGGATGATTTAAGATAAGCTCGTAATTAATGCTCTCAGACGGTTGACAGCAACCCTGGTGCTGCTTGTCGCGATAAAGACGCATCTCACGTATTTCTCCTCCACCCACCCCTTGCAGCCCTCCGAATCCCCAGCATCCCTACTACATCTTAAGCAAAGTTGATTTGCGGCTTACGCTCACCAAAGGGGAGTTAAATGTACTGGCAATAATTAATATTACATCCCACGCGACTTCGAGCTGTAAAGGGGATGTAACGAACACAACCCTTAACTGATAACCGATCATTAATTTATCTTTCATATTTTTCCAACAAAATGTTTTTGCACCGTCACCCATCTTCCTCGATACTCACAGTTCACCTGTTTCGTGTACGGTGACTCGTGCGATAAGGAAAAATTTTTTTTCAAGGTCAACAAAAAATAGGCTTCTGCGTTATCGTCGATATTTAATTCCTGTTTGCCGTACTTGATACGAGATGCTGTAATTTGTTAAATTACGTGATATTTCAATATTTTGGAAACCCGCAATACCTGACGCGGAAGGGTCTAATGGAATTTTGCGGTTTCGAATTGGTATTGAATGTCTGACCCTGTACAGTTTCGCAATATGGATTCCAAGCCCACGTAATCCCTGTCTGCGTCGCTGGATGAAATTCTCCTATGGACCACCGACATGATTCGAGTCACATTGCGGTGATATCTATAACGTTGAAATGGTCGTCCATCAAAAGATTTTTCATGAGATATAAAGAAGACCACGTGGCTATAAAACTTTCCCCGGTGATGGTTTTCCATAAGAAAAAAGAAATCCGCACGAAACAAAAACAACACGTAAACGGCGTTAAACTGAAATTCATTTATTTTATTTAAATTCTGGAAAAAGATATAATTCCTATTGGCCAGCGACGTCTAGCTAGTACAGTCTGTGAGTTCACGGATCTTCAATAAAAACCTGATGTTATGCAATTGGTTAAGTAATTATTACACAGACAGGCATTCTCATCCTTTACCGTAAAGTCTTCGGTCCTGAAACCAACTCTCCGCCGCTACCCAACTGCCAGTAACTGGCGAACAACTTATTATACTCCAACACTACCCGGCCAGAGCTTTGGCTTGGTCCCTGGTAGGGCGCAGGGTAGTCCATGAACATCCACAGAGTTCAGCCCATTGTGCACCCGTAGATACTTGAATAATGGACTTTTCAAACCGGACGGCCATTATTGGTACTTTAACGTATTTCATTTCCATTTATAATTGCCATGGCTAAACACACCCACGCAGGGGCTGCCGATTGAAATATTACGGAGGAAATAATGTATCAACTCACATTATTTACAGAGCAAACGTATTTTTGGCTTATGGTTTTTAATTTTAGGAATCGGGCCAATACGAATTTTAGGGGTCGCGTGTTGCTCATGCGGACGTTTCGAGGGATTTGATTCGGTGAGGTTACCGAGTGACTCAAAAAGTAAGCGACTCACGTTCCAAATTAAAGTTGCACTTGCTCTACCTTGAGCATCCGTGGGTACGGTTGGTAGCATTGCTCTAAGGATTTTATGAGGGTAATGTTCTTGAATGCTTAAAGGGAAGATTCTAATGGGTGATAGCGAAGCTGACGTTTCATGACCATGTATATATATATACTTTTATTAAATTTCGAGGATTCCTGATAATACGGTAGCCGAGTCTGACCTGACAGGGGACGAGTCCATTTTTTTATAATTTCGTTCATAAGCCGTTTAGCGACTAAATGGAAAAATTAAAGATTGAAGAAAATTTTCAAAATATTTTCAATGCAGACAGAAACTTTTACCACCACTCATTTAGTTATGTGATCGAAGGAGGAAAAATAATTAATCCTTATCGCTACTCGCGCGAATAATTAGTAAGACATTTTTTTTCCTTTTGTAATTTTTCAAAATTACATCAAGACTGGTATCCATGTTCCTAATGACATTGACACGTGGTTGACCATATTTTTCCATAATTTTCTCTTTTAACTCGATTTTCCACTCCATGTTTAGTCGCCTGTCTGCACAGTGACGTCCCGACGTCATAACGCTATAACGGTTCGACTAGACTGCTAGGGGGTGGCCCCAACGGCGAGTCTCGCAAGTAAAGGGTTTGCTGAGTGAAACGAGGGCTGAAAATGGCTTCCAGATCGTTGACGACGTCTGGCTACTCGCGGACTCGTCTACTTCCCCTGGAGAATTCCGTAGAAATGTCCTTTTTACGTCAGACCGGATCACTGTCCGTAGATTGAACGAAAAATATTTTCTTTTGTAACAAAATTTTTTCGAAAATCCATTTTTCCAAAAAAAAAAAAAACGCACACATTTTATACCTTTTCCATGGAGACTCGAAGGGAAGGTGGCGTCGTGGTTTGACTTTTTTTGTATTGTGTTCTT